ATTGGATTGGTCATATCTTATGCGGTAACTGCCTTCTAAAAGAAGTTATTGAAGGAAAGATAGAGGGGCGGATAGAAGTGACCAGAAGACGAGGAAGAAGACGTAAGAAGATGCTGGATGACCTTGGGGACAGAAGAGGATATTTTCATTTGAAGGAGAAAGCTCTAGATCGCATCAAGTGGAGGAACTGTGTTGGAAGAGACTGTGGACCTGTCATCTTGACAGATTACAGATGAATGAATGAATATACAGTGTTTGCAACTCCAGGAATGGCATATGTAATGCCCTTTATTTGTTTTTCACATAATTTCAATAATATGTGTTCAAAATTTCAGTGACTGTCCTCTGTAAACTAATGATGGAGACAAGGACCATGTCACAAACATTGAAGTTTTGTCATATATTGACAGGAAGCAAATGTTTTCAAGTAACACTGTTTATTAAGGTTATGCAAGATTAGGCCTTGTAGCCTGGATAATTAATTTTTATAGGAAGAACAGATAGATAGGTAGGCTTTCGATTCCAAACAGTGGTTAATTTTGGAGAGTGAAGTTCATAAATTGGGACATGTGGTAGCGTAGTTGGTTGAGGCACTATGCTATAAGCCGGGAGGTCAAATTATAAGGGTTAAGACCTATAGCAATAGTTATAAAAAATGCCCTATATTGTTTGGATGGCACAGGGTATTTATCCATCCATCTACCAAATATGTTTAGCAGATTGTGTCACTACCAGTTATATGCGATGGTTGATACATTTGGATGCTGCTGTGCTGTAGTAGTTAATGGTGAAGGCCTGTCTAGTCTTTTCCAGATTTATGTGTCCTTTTACGTGTTGTGGCCCCATCTTTACACAGGTTTGGCCTACATGTTCTCATTAACTAAGGTTATGGATTGTTTCTAGGGGGGGTCGTTCTAGAGTTGCTGGTCTCTACTAAAACATAGGTGGCATGACAGACTGTGTTAAAAATCCTTTGGTATTAATATTTGGTATATTTCATTTTTTCTTTCTTCAGTTATGATTACCTAAAAGTCCACGGGGGAGGGACAAATGCCTGGCTTCCCCATCCTGGTGCCCATGGCTGCATAAGCAGCAAGATAAAAGTTATTTGGAATAAGCTAGGTGGATCTATGTCACACCATTCAGTATATCCGTAATTTTTTTTTAATAATAGGAACTTTTGAAAATTATACAGAAACGCAGTTTGCTGAAACAGCGAAGCATCAGTGTGAAACAGGAAATATGGTCACACTAAATTTCTGTATTTATTCATATCTTCTGTGAAATATTTTAACTGTGCACTTTTTGTTTTGTCTTGTAGCCTTGCCACACATGACCCATACTTCACTTCCACAGATACTATTGTGGCCCTTCTTCTTATTTTTGTTGTTAGTGTTATGCCAGCTGCCTGGATCCTGCTCCTGAATGTTTGCCGCAGTGTTTAAAATTTACCTTTCTTTTCTTGGTTAGGACCTCAAGGAAAAGAAAGAAAAGCTATCTAACGGTATGCTTCCACTGAACTCTGGCTCACCTCCAATTATCCCTTTCCTTGATTTCTTGTATATTTAGTAGATTCTATGCACACTGAAAGTAAGCTGTGAATCTGTGACTCTCAGCTGTTTTGCTGTACAGAATTTTTCTGCAGTGTGAATGGACTAGTCGCATGTTGACTGAGATGATGTTATGTATATAGTTGCCGTCTTGTAGTGCACTCAATTCACCTGTTACTTCACGACATGTTTCGGCAACATAGTGCCGTCATCAGGTGCCCTAATTACACTAATCTATTTCATTGCTTGCCTTTATAAAATTATTTAAAAGTATTTAAAAGTGCATATTTNAATGAAATAGATTAGCGTAATTAGGGCACCTGATGGTGGCACTATGTTGCCGAAAC